AGAGAGAGAGAGAGAGAGAGAGTGAGAAAGCAAGCCACCAGGTCTGAGACTTAAACCATGGTGGGCCATGTGGGAGTTCAGCACCCTTAACTACCATGCCACTTGCCAGCCTCACCATGAAAATTTTTTTAAAGTTTATTTTATGTGTGTCTTCCTTGAGCAAGAAACAGAGAGACAGTATTCCCAACAGGGTCTTGACACTGTGATTCACCCCCCTGCTTCAGCCAGCCCTGGATCATGAGCATGAAGGTGCCCAGTGTATTCAGGAAGGTCTCTGGACACACATCTGGACCATTCTCAACTGGGTCAGTCTTGCAGTGTTGCATTTCACCATGCTGCCTCCATCTAGCCCCCATATGATTTGAATTTTTTTTTTTTTTTGAGAAGTTCTTTTTGATATAGGGCGCATGCGCTCGCCAGAAAGACAGAGAGAGACAGAGAGATAGAAAGTGAGAAATCACCCCCCAAGGGGGATGGCCACACCGTGATCCCTTCTCCTCCATTCTCCTCTCAGGATCTTGGGCACACACGTACACGCACCTGGCGTGAGTTCTAAGCCACCGGGTCCAGGACTCGAACCATGGTCAATTACATGGGAGTTCAGCGACATAGCCATTACACTAACTGCTGGTCCCTATGATTTGAAATTTGAAAGTTATATAAGTTAGGCTAACTGCTGGCATAGTGGTTAAGGCACTGAACTCCCACATGATTAAACACAGGTCAAGTCCTATACCCAGAGGCTTAAAATTCACGCCAGACACATGTGTGTGGGTGCCCAAATGAAGGAGAAGGGATCGTGGTGTGGCCATTCCCCTTCAGGGGCGATTTCTCGCTTTCTATCTCTCTGTCTTTACAGCAATTGCACATGCCCTATAGCAAAAATCTCTCAAAAAAGAGAGTTATGGGGAACCGGCAGTTAGCATAATGGCTATGTCGCTGGACTCCCACGTAGTCGACCGCGGTTCATGTCCCAGACCCGGTGGCTTAAAACTCACGCCGGGCGCGTGTGCATGTGTGCCCAAGATCCCGAGAGGAGAATGGAGGAGAAGGGATTGCGGCATGACCATCCCCCCTGGGGGGTGATTTCTCACTTTCTGTCTCTATGTCTCTCTCTGTCTGTCTGGCGAGCGCACACGCCCT